GGTGGTTGACTATATATATATATATATATAGTTCATACATGGTGTAACCCTAAAGTAGAATTAGGTTTGTTGGCCATGTTACACGACTCATAATATTTTCTTTGTTTTTATTGGTCCACGTTTATCATATACTAGTGGAAAAATAAAGCAGCCAATAAATAAAAATAACTAATATCGTGTCTCAGTCAGTAGCCAATAGTTTTAGAAAATTTATTTGTGTAGCTCTCCAAATTGTCTCATGTCAAAACTATATATTATATCACCAACAATACCATGTGAAAATGTTGAGGTCCTAAAGTTTTTATGTAATATTATTATTTTTATAGATAAGACCATAAATGATAATTAATTAATATTCCACAAGAAGTGCAAGTATAGTACGGTTGAATATAGTAAAGAATATAGTTAAATAATAAAAATGTATTATTTCTATGGGTAACTTTTATATATAGCAAATAAAATTTTTATATTTATATGTTATAGCAAAGTTTACATAATTGTGCTTTATAGTAAATATAGAAACTGTATAATTTGCTATACATGTACAGTTGAAGCAAATTGTATAAAACGAAGTATATAAAACAAGAAAGAAAAAGACATTTGGGTAGAGAACTGTATAAAAACGAATTGTATTATTATAAGTGTATAGAACGATTATATACAATTTGAATTTGTATAAAATGAGAAAGAGAGAGAGACAAAAGAGACTCGACAAGGAATATACAATTGAATTGAATTGTATAAAACGAGAAAGAGAGAAATTAGATACAATTTAAAAATTGTATAAAACGAGAAAGAGAGAAAGACAAAATAAACTGGGCGGGGGAGTATTTTTATTGTTTAATTATAAGTGTATAAGACGAAAATAGATGTACTTGCATGTGTATGTATAATTTTCGCACGTTTTATACAAACAGAAACGCAATTTATACATTTCGCTTCTGTTTGTATAAGTGAGAAAGGCGAGGGTGGCGAGCGAGATTTGAGAGAGTGGCGAGCGAGATCCGGAAGAGATGAGAGAGGGAAACAAAAATATATGTATTTATACAATTTTCTCTGCTTTATATAATTATAAACAATTTTTATACACTTGTGTTTATATAAAAAGTGAGGAAGCGAGCGAGAGATTGGAGGATAGTGGCGAGCGAGATATTTGGGAGAGAGGCGCCTGACAATTTTTTGCAAACGTTTGTTATAGAGTACAATTAAATCAAACCCTATCTACTCCATTTATTATAGGTTATTAGTTTGTTATTCTATACAATTTTCCCTCTTTTAAATAGCTAAATTTTTATATGAGATAGTTACACACTTCAATATGGTATCAAAGTCAACGAAAGTATTAACATTGAATCTCATTGTCACTCATATTAAAAAGTCGTTAATGAAAAATTGTATTTTCGTCACTAAAAGAATAATGATAAATGTATAATCAAAAGATGATTATTAGCTATTAAGCAGTTCTATTTAAGGAAAAATGAACATTATATTAATTGATGATATTGTGGATTAGTCAAGCCACTTGTTTTAGAAAATTGTATTGCTCTCTTTCTGCCCTAATTTAAACTTTAAATCTATTTAAAGTAAAGAAAATGTTTATTCTATTAATGGTGGGATTAGTTTAACACTTTTAATTAGTTGATGGAGGTACGCCACGTCATTACTTTTTTATGACATGGTTGAACTTCAACGTAGAAATTTTATCAAACTTGTCTAACACTATAAATATATGTTTTCACTTGAAAATATCAATTCGTCAAATTTATCGATTTATATCCATCTAAAAATCAGCAAATACTATATATAAATTTTTGATCGAACTCATAAGTAAATCCCTAAATTTATTGAATTTCTCCCCTCAGATATTTTAACTGTGTCATTTTCCTATTAAATCATTGAACCACCTATAATTTGTTCTCTTTAAACATCTTTAATTGATTTTGATCGAATTTTCTATTGTAAATGTCTTCAATTGTGTTTTTATTGTAATTTTTTTTATTAAAGAATGAAGACAGACTATGTTAGTTTCATTTATTTTCTAATGACTTGAAATAAAACATAATTATTCTCGAACATTTTCACTATCAATTGAACTAATGAGTTTTGAAACAACATATGTATCCTCTACTAATACCCCTCAAAAAATTTATTCCACATCATCCAACGATATATGTTTAAAAAAAATAAATTATGGGCGGTTCAATGATTCAATAGGAAAATGACATAGTTGAGATACTTGAAGGAAAAATCTAACAAGCTTAGAGATCTGTTTATGTACTTGACCCAAATTTATTCATAATACACATTAATATCTTACTGGAAAATGCTATTTTTTGAATGTCTCATCCGAATTTGATTTGTCGATAAAGATTTTTTGATTTTCTTTTGACGGAGATTCAAAAATTCATATTTTAATTTCTAGGTGAAGTTTCAAGGATTTTATTTATTGCACTTATGTATAGTCCCATTTTCTATTATAATAATTGATGTGAGAACAAGGTTAGCTAGAAATACATTAAATTATAATGTCAAATTCATAGTCAAACTTGTGTATCACGAGACTCCATGCATTTAATAGCGATAATTACGTACGGTCCAATACGCATATATAAATCTATGAAGATTTTAATCTATTTTGTTATGCATAATATGATTTTTTATTTATTTTCAACTCGTAACGCTTAAATCAGTCATGAATTTCATCACTATTTTAACCTTTTATTAATAGTTTACATTGTGTAATTATTTCTTTGGATATATATATATATATATAGTTTAACAATTAAAACGTATTTACTAAAAGTAAGTAAAAGTTTAGCAAAGTTTATTAAGT